AGGAAACATTACATCAGCACATGCTTATTTGTATGATGAAATGGTACATATTTAATATATATGATAAAATTGTACATATGCAATATATGATAAAATTGTACATATGTAACATGTAATTAGGACGTATATAATTGATCATTCGCTTCTTACCGTTGAATAATACTGTGTCTGGTATACCGTTGTTATTGGCTCACATTGTTAATACAAGTTTTACTGTTAAATGTTTTCCTGTCGCCTTATATGATGATTGTTGACGTGTAAATATCAGTTTGTATTTAGAGGAAAGCAATATCCATTATATAAATATAAATATAACAATGAAGAATTATTAAAAAATGAAGTTCAAAACGTTTTCATTTCTATTTGCATTGTATTGTACAGAAAACTGCTTTGGCGATTTAACTCTCCAAGAGGAGACAACGTTAGATAAACATTGGTACCATATGTTCTTTTTCAACGCCTTCCATCATCATTCACGCCTCACTGATTAAACAACATTTAATACAACGCCTTCCATCTTCGTTCACACTTCATTGATTACACAACATTTAACACAACGCCTTCCATCTTAATTCACACCTCACTGATTTTACAACATTTAATACAACGCCTTCCATCTTAATTCACACCTCACTGATAACAACATTTAATACAGCGCCTTCCTTCATCATTCACACCTCACTGATTACACAACATTTAATACAACGCCTTACATCTCCATTCACACCTCCCTGATTGCATGATATTTAATACATGTTCTTCCATCTTCATTCACACTTCACCGATTACACAACATTTAATGCAGTGCCTTCCATATTCATTCAAACCTCACTGATAACACAACATTTAATACAGCGCCTTCCATCATCATCCACACCTCACTGATAACACAACATTTAATATAACGTCTTCCATCTTCATTCACACCTCACTGATAACAACATTTAATACAGCGCCTTCCTTCATCATTCACACCTCACTGATTACACAACATTTAATACAAAGCCTTTTATCTTCATTCACACTTCACTGATAACAACATTTAATACAGCGCCTTCCATCATCATCCACACCTCACTGATTACACAACATTTAATACAAAGCCTTCCATCTTCATTCACACTTCACTGATAAGACAACATTTATTACAACGCCTTCCTTCTTCATTCACACCTCACTGATTTTACAACATTTAATACAACGCCTTCCATCTTCATTCACCCCTCACTGATTACATGATATTTAATACATGTTCTTCCATCTTCATTCACACTTCACTGATTACACAACATTTAATACAACGCCTTCCATCATCATCCACACCTCACTGATTAAACAACATTTAATACAACACCTTCCATCTTCATTCACATCTCACTGATTTTACAACATTTAATACAACGTCTTCCATCTTTATTGACACCTCACTGAATTTACAACATTTATTACAATGCCTTCCATCTTCATTCACACCTCACTGGTTTTACAAATTTTAATACAACGCCTTCCATCATCATTCACACCCCTCTAATTACCCAACATTTGATACAACCCCTTCCATCATCATTCACACCTCACTGATTACACAACATTTGATACAACGCCTTCCATCTTCATTCACACCTCACTGGTTTTACAAAATTTAATACAACGCCTTCCATCATAATTCACACCTCACTGATTACACAACATTTAATACAACGACTTACATCTCCATTCACACCTCATTGATTACATTATATTTAATACATATTCTTCCATCATCATTCACGCCTCACTGATTTCAAAACGTTTAATCTGCGCCCTTCCATCTTTATTCTCACCCTGACTGATTACAAAACAATAACACACGCCCTTCAATCTTCATTCACACCTCACTACTTACACAACATTTAATTCACGTTCTTCCATCTTCATTCTCACCTCACAAATTATACAACATTTAATACACTTTCCCATTCCCCTAACACTGATTAGGGTATCTCTATATCACACGCCCAGCAATGCTTTGCTTGGAGCAAATATAAGTTAACCTTCGCACATCATTGTTGTGACATTTCCATTCTTAACTCACTCATTCCACGGCGTTTGCAATGCACGACCTGGGAATACCCCTAACAACAATTAGCTAAATGCATCCCCCTGGTTGCGATTCAATGACGATTATGAGCTATGAATACTTAATGAGATAGCTAATGTTGATTGTGTTCATGTTCCGTGTGATATATTTTTCAATTCTAAAAAAACAATGAAAAACATTTACAGAATATTGATAATGCGCATTTTAATGGTTGAATAAACAAACACCTTTCTGAAACGCATCTATTTTCACATCACCATTACGGTATTTCCATAGTTTTTTTACTAATGCCCATAAATAATTGAGCCTTAGAAAGTTATATTATAATATTTCCAGTGGGCGTTAAAGCGTTCTATTCCATTCTATATAACCGTTAAATTTGCTTGAATTTGTTTTTTATTTTACAACAATAGAAAGCAATATGTGGACTTTGTTATCTCACAGGGCCTATTTGTCACTTTCTTGTGAATTTCACAACTGGACAATAAAGATGCCAAACGAAAGTGGTAATTGTCGGTAATAATACTCCACTCGAGAAAGAAAGCCGATGTAATCCAGTATCCAGCTAAATCTAAACTAAAATATAAGAAAATCGTTGTTTTGTCAAAGACCTTGCATCAAATGATAGATGACACTCAGAATGTTAACTAAATCAAAAAACTATTTAACAAAATGATCCTACATCTGGATATGTATATATTTACTCGTCAAATTTACCTGTTTACTGTACAGAAAATTACCAGACATGCCTGTATAAAATACAGATTACCAACGACTATTGGTTTTCCCTAGTTCTTTTTTCTTTGTGTCTTCACTCAGTTTTGTAACTATACATTCAGTACATAGTTCTGAACGATGCATCACGATTGTGGAGCCTTGTAAATTAAATTTGACAAACCTCAGAAAAACGTTTTGTAAGCTTGTGATGGGTAGCTTGCCAGGTCTGTAGAGCTGGCGGAAGCAGGTTTGTTCTTTCTGTTGGACCACGAAGCGAGATATTCCATATGGATATAAAACAAAGAAGACTTTATAACAGGATAATAGTCCTCTGGTAATTTGTAGTAAACAGAGACAGAAAACAATTCATTTGAGTTATCTCAATGTCCATAGGCAAACAAAATTATACAGATATGTCACCGAGGGGCATCATTATACTAGATTGGTTTTGTTTTGTTTAACGTCCTATTAACAGCTATGGTCATCTAATGTCGTCATTATACTGGATCATGTACACCTATATTTTTCGTCGATAATAAGGGACCTACATATAATCCCATTTAATGAGTGACGTCATGAAGGGTCCAACATGGGATGCATGAAATGTTAACCATTTTGATGAAATGCTCTGCCAACCTGACTTTAGTGGATGTTTTGTATGTTTTTCCTTCTTTGTCGATGTTTTCGTACTTCTGGTTGATGACTTTTTAAAAATACATGCGTGACGCTTCTCCGGACCTTTCACTCTGCTGTGATAGATGTAAGTAAAACCAGCACTGTTCCGAACCTAATCGACGTATATAGGAAGTATATGTCATGGTATTCCCAGGCAGTTATCGTGCTGTTTGAGGCCTTCTACTTATCTGGGTTTGAGCTTCAGACCACTCGCTCTCCCATGATTTTCGGTTCGATCCCCAGCGGTGGCGGAAAAAAGAGAGTGATGTCTGACATCCTTCACTAGAGAAACAGCATTTGTTCCCTTCGCGGCGTCGTAAAACATACTCTACGGTGTTCACTTTGTCGTTGACAATGTACACGACGTTAAATGAAGATTATTTATTTATCATTTTTTAATTTAATAATAACAAAAATCACCAGAATTAATAAGTTCAGAAGCACTAATTCAAAACTTCGTTCGTTGATACAAAATGACGATCAGATTATCCTTATTTCTGCAGCATATGGCCTTCTCGTACACTTATTACTCATTAGTGGTAATAGAGCTCAAACGAATTTCAGCCAAGTTGTGGAAAAGCTTAACATCCTCTATTAGGAAGTGAAACGCCCTGCCCAAATTCAAGAACGACATAAAAACTCCCCTCTTCACGTCTGCATTTTAGGTTCTTTGTACAAATGTCGTGTACATACCATCCTTTATTTATTCGTTTATGTGCACATTCAGGTTATCATTTTCTTGCTTTATGTAAGATGGTGATTGTTAGCCTTTTTTGTTTAACAATTATAACTAATGCTATTATCCATATGTTGTAAAGCGCTTTAAAGTAATTTTACAAATTATATACGGCGCTATATAAATGTGTAAAATAATAATAGTAATTAATATCCTGGTCTAAAGTGTTCCAAAGTAATTACAGTAAGCTGCATGTAGGACCCATTATAACAAGTAAAGCAGTGTTTATAAGCCCATTAGTTGCTCCTGGTATTTAATACGTTGCTCAACATACATACTATCATATTTAAACTAGGTCAAACTATTGAATCCGCACAGAACGAGTGACATTGGAATTAAATCAAGTTAGTTGTATACCCAGCAATTTACTTCGCCCGCATCCTAAAGGTTTGAAGACTTGTTTCCCATTAGTGGGACTGTTGATTTTCCAGAAGTTGTTTCAAAGGTAACTGAACCCGCTCGATGTGATTTTATACTTAATACTAGGGATATAAATATACAATTTAAAAAAAGGTATCAGTTACCAGATACTTGATACATGAACGTTATAATGATAAACAGGTTACCCGTCTTGGGAAAGAAATGCACGATATAAAAAAGAATAAGTAACCTAATACGTCATAATGTTGACAAAGTTACAGGCATGTCCCCACAGACGCGTTGACGTTCAATCATATGACTTCCAGTGTGAACTGCGTCAATGCACAATGGAATCAAGTTAATTGGTTATATCACTGATCTTGAGAAAGTAGCACAATTGTGAACAACTTATACATAAGTGAACACCAAATCTTCCAATGTTAAAACATATGTTTAATTACCAGACATTTAACAGAACCTGACCGTATAAGCGGTCTTTGGATTGCCTCTACATGTAAATGTACTTTTGTGGTCATCGTATGCATAACTATATGCTTCAGGACACCTGCTTTTGAAGAAATCGGCGCCGGGGAATGATGGGCACGTTTGTGGCGTGTTGTGTGCGTTACGACAGCAGTAGTCGTCCCGTCCAGTAGCTTCACATGCGCTCTTGCATGCAATCACTTGGCCTCCATAGATTTGCTTGAAAGAAAAAAGAAGTTTAAAACAATACCATTTACACAATGATATAAAAGGGAACAAACGCCCCGTGATTGCTGAAGCTATATTCCGTCTTTGCGTATTGCAGAGTTATCTTCTCTTGTGAACAGGTATTGAGTGTTACGTCATTTGTTTGTGTGAGAAAAATACGTCGTTTTCTCAAAAATTGATGACGTTACTCTCACAAACAAATGACGTAACACTCAATACCTGCTCACAAGAGAATATAACTCTGCAATACGCAAAGACGGAATGGAGAAGCAAAGGCTGACCCGTTGTATTTAGATGTAGTTCCATGTTTACCGAAATCTCATATATACAAAATGTGTAAATATGTGTTCAATTACATTTTTATAAATTTATAATTGAATATATGTCTTCATTTATTGTTTATAACTTCACGGTACAAATACAGAACAGGATCGGACAATCAGTAAAAACTTTTTATTCAAGGAGGGCTATATTTCCATATACTCTTATTGTGCTTCCATTATCCCGAAATTAACTGATTTACTTCACAAAGATTCTGCCTTTTTAGTACAGAAGTGTACCCGGATATTGCAGTTGTGAATGTTTACTCAAGGTATTAAAACTTACGTATGTTTACTCCAGCTATAAATATTTACGTATGTTTACTCCAGGTATAAATAATTACGTATGTTTACTCCAGGTATAAATAATTACGTATGTTTATCCCCGGTATAAATATTCACGTATGTTTACTCCAGGTATAATTACTTACATAGTTGTTTTACTTATTTTTTATAGTCTATGAAATAATAAATTCCTAAGCTATGTCCTCCACACGAATACCTATCTTAACCGCAAACCTCTCCACGACATCAGGTTAACAACACATGTAGGTAATTTTGTTTACTGCATTTTCATCTTTTTCATCGATTTTTTGTTTATTTTACTTTCACATTGTATTTGAAAAGAAAATTTATATAAATGATTCTTTGATCAATCTGTTTCCAAGAACAGTTTTCTTGTTTGATATCGTTCTCTTTATATTATCTATATCTGTTTGTAATGCATTACTATATAATAAATACATGTCAATAATAGTTAGTGAAAATCTATTATTTAAAAACGCCATACTCTTTGCTCTCCAGGACATTGCTGGTTTAAGTCGGTGTAGCATCCCGCCCTGGCACAATAGTACTGTCCGTGGTGATTAGTGTCGTAGGAGCCAGCTACTGGTTGGATAGTCATCATAATGTTGAACCCATCCACTAAACTCAAATCGTAAAAGTCCTCTCCTCCCCATCCATCCAGGGTGAACTCGGCGAGCGTTGCTGGGGGTCTGCCTGTCCGTCCGTTACACTGTATGCCTCCGCAATCGCCAGTCTGACATTGTCCACTTCCCGTACAATGGGTTCTCCCCCAAATACGACCATTCCAATGATCCACCACGGTAAACGACCTACGGGCGCCAGCTCTCATCTCCCATCCGCCTTCATAAATGCAATCAGGTATAATTATTATCAGCAACATAAAAGACGTTTTTCCCCCTTTCTCAATCTGTAGCTAGCCATATGACCACATTTAAAGGTATCCCTTCCCCATTTGCTAGCTTACCTGACGAACGTTTTCGGTATACCTTCTCTTTTTTTAGCCCACAATCGACAGATAGATTATCGAATTTTTTTTTATTCAAATCACCCTTCGTACTCCGCGTCCGTGGTCTGGTGTCCGTCCGTCCTCATTACGTCTTACCCTAACAATTACTGTTAGCAATATTTCTAAAAAAGAGCCAGGTATATTTCTAAAATTTCACATCTTTCTCAAATCTCACAGGAATGTTCCCAATTATCCCTAAATATGTATATCAAAGTTTGGGAGTGATGGAAAAACCTAAATGGCCGAAAGGTAGCCATCTTTATTTTTGAGAGTTTAAATTTACTAGCCATATTTCTCAAACATGACATGAAGGATTTTTTCTCAAATTTCAATTGAAAGTTTCCCATGGTTCCCAAGCCCTGCATATCGAATTCTGGGTCTGATCAGAAAACAAAGATGAACGGCAGAGATGACGGACAGCCATCTTGTATTTTGAGAGTTGAAGTTTGTTAGCTCTGTATTTAGTTTAGTTGTATTTTTGTTTAACGTCCTATCAACAGCTAAGGTCATCTAAGGATGTGCCTACATGTGTGTTGTGATTGCCTGCTTCTGGGTATGTGTGTCGGAGACAGGGTATTTTGGTGTAATAGCCCCTTGTGATAGCGCGGATCTGAAGCCGACTTTATAGTGCTATCTCACTGAAATACCACGCCGAAGGCACCCAGTACAGCATTCTGCCCGGTCACATTATACGGACAAAAAGTGAACCAGTTGTTTCCATTACCCTTAATGCTGAACGTTAAGCATGGAATAACAACTACCATTCTTAAGGAATTTAGTATTTCCCGGCCTGGGGACAGAAAACATTGCCTTCCTCACCTGGGCAAGCGCTCAACATGAAAGCTAAAAGTGAGATATTTGCCACGCAAGGTAGTTAGAAGAAGAAAGAAATGTTTAGTTCCTAATAATGTAATGATAGCTCTATATCTCAGAAAGTACTGGAGAGATCCTTCCCAAGGTTCACTTGAAAATTTCATTAGTCCCGAGCTAGGCATAGGGCATTTTTTGGTCTGATCAGAAAGCCAAGGCGGCCAATAGGCAGCTATCTTGGATTTTGAGAGACAAGGATTGTTAGCACTACTTCTCACAAAGTGCTAATGGGATCTTTCTAAAATTATACATGCAAGTTTCCAAAGGTCCCCTCTTCTGCATATCGATTTTTGGAACTGATCAGAAAACAGGATGACAACCAGACAGTCTCCTTCAATGTCAATAGTTCCATTATGTGTATGTTCCCCTTTGTTAACTGGTTACAAATACATGTAGTCCTGATAATTTGTCGGTCATATAGTGATTGATACCGTTTCCAGTTTTGTAAAAAATACAAATGCTTAGTATTTTGCATATAGTTATGCAGTAATATCATTTGTCACAGTGGAAAAATAGCGTATGACATTTCAAGGTTTGAATCAATGTTTAAAATCCCCGTTTAGGGTTTTCAACATTGGACCTATAAGGAAAAAATAGAACGAAGAAGGCAAAAGATCCTCTTTTGTAAGTCTGATAAAGATACTTGTACTTTGATGGTGACGCCAAGATCCCTGAAGATCCCTCTTGTATAGTTGAGAAAAATGTTCCTTTGTATGTTTACGGCCTGGCATATATATTCTCCATTGTCCGATATATGTATATAGAGCATGTAGTTTTCGAGTCACACCATGTAACTATGTACACCTATTTACAGGCCTTAAGGTAAAGATAGATATTCATCGCTTTTGTCATTTGTGTACATACCTTAAGAGGGATATTTCATAAATCTATCATTTTTTCGACTGTATCAAAGAGTTGAAAACAGTTTTTTTCCTGTGACATTCACGTGAAATCCTCTATATAAGTAATACGTCATTTACATTATGGCCCCTATTTCGTTTATTTCTAAAAGAGATACTATTTTTTCAGTTCATTACCGATGAATATTATGAATTTCTTATAAAAACAAAATAAATTTGCACAAACCATTATATTGTGCAGCAACTTCAACCAATCAGAAATTAGGCGCCAAACATTCCGTATGCGACGACATCACTTCTTGTTTTTTAGGGTATAAGATATAAATTAACCTGAATATATCCAGCATTTGGTAAATGGCAAAACTTAAATTACTATTGATAAAGATGGAACAACGATAGCGTTACGGACTTGTTGTGGAGGAAATCATGTTGCCGTAAAATTATCAGAACTATGGGAAACTTTCATTTATAATTCTAGAAAGATCCCGTTAGCACCTTCCGAGAAGTTATAACTGTATATGTATATAACGGCATGGTGTAGCCACACGTTGATACAAAATTGCATACCTCCTAGCGGTGTCTGGCCATTGTTTCCGTAGGCGGCGGCCCACACTGTATAGGAACAGTGGTTCTCAACGTGAAAGGTATGATCAGCGAGACAGACTGTGGCGGCTGACACCAGCAGGGTTAGGGAGGCAAGCATCTGGAAATACAAAGGAACTGTTAACCTTCAAAGTTTCCTTTGAGATATTTCGTAATCCACTAAGAAAAAAACGTTTGTTAAAAAGGAAGATAAAATATTGTAACTCACTTGGTAATATTGCACTCATCATTATTTTGGGAATGATATTCGAAGATAGTGTTCAAGTTTTTCTTTTAAGAAATGATTAGACGTTAAGATGTATGGTTGAAGGAGTGTCATGATTGTTGGTTTGTCTGAAACAAATCCGTAAGTAATTTTGATTGTGTTAATATACATCTACAATTTTTACTCTATCCAAAAATAACTCGTTAAGTTTATGATACACAACCTTTACCATGATTTAACTATCAAGAATGAGCTAGTCCTTTATTTGCCGTGAGTTAATTTAAAAACTGAAACACCTCTTCTTCTCCTTCTTCTTCTTCTTATGGTGCACGGGCTCCATCAATGGTGATGTTTATGTCCTCTGAAGACTAAGCCCCTATGGAGTTATGGAATGTTTTTTCTCTCTCACAGACATGACTGAGCCAATCAGATGATAGGTGGGCAGGGCTTGTACAGACCTGACCCTCCACGTTGATACGGCAGCTCTCGATGATAAATATGTTCTTTTTGATGTGCGTTTTATACAATGTAAACATGAGAATTAAGGACCTATCGAGTCCCTTGTCCAACTCGACAATGTTTCCCTCGGCGTCGGAAACAGTCGTGGTATAATGCAAAAATAGGGTGGTCGGGTGGCGTAGTAGATAGCGCACTTGCCTTTCACCAAGGCGGCCGGGTTTCGATTCCCCGATCGGACGTGTAAAGGTATGCAGTCACCTGCCAGACCATATGAGTTTTCTCCGGGTACTTCGGTGTCAACCCCCGCGCACTAACAACCGGACCAACACGAATGGCTAGTATAAGTTGATAAACTTGTTCCATTATTGTTGCTCTTTCCGTACCGCAACTCCGGTCCGGATTCCGTACCGGATGTACTTATTAGACTCGCCCCCGCGCATAAAACAAAATGGCGGATTATTAATGTACTTTTTAGACAAAGTGTAACTGCCGCAAGAATTAAACAGGTAACCGTGAACAAATATTTTTGTTGTTTCATGTTCTGGTTCATAGACAAACACCCCTTCATTTTCGCAGCATATTGACTAACTGGCAGCTGATAATGACTGAGAAATCGACATTTGTCTGGCAATAAACGATACGATTCTTTGTATTTAACACAGCGTTGTAGTGCAGGTTTGAAATGGGGATTGATTATGGTTACGAATGTGGAGTCGTTGAATTTTTTTCTAAATACAAGAAGATTTCATCATGACTTATATTAGAATATTCAAATGTACTTCCATAAGTCTCAACAAATATCTGATGATGAATTTACGAGTGTTCTTTCGAATTAAGTTGCCGCCATCTTGTTTACATTTGAGGCACCAAACGCAAACATCTTGCGGCAAATGCGAAAACATTAAGTCACATAATAAAAAAGTGTACTCTGCACAAATAAAATAATTTCTTCCAAACTGATGGGTTCTGATTTTAGCGACAATTTTTTTTTTCGCGACAGTCTCGTGCGATAACCAACTAAACATCAGGCAGGTTACATCAAAGTCTCTTGTCGGTAGTACACGACAACGGGGATGAGACGGCCCTTTATTTTGTCGTCTGTACACGAGAACGGGGACCAGGCTGACATATTGTTGTCGTGTGTACACGACAACGGTACGGAAAGAGTTAAATAAATAAAGTTTCTATTTTTATATGAAAAAAATGTGTCTCGCCAAGGTTTTAACATTGAAACCGATTTGTAATTGTCTTACCGTGATTGGAGGAGTTCCAAGTTGCCAATGACTGTTGTAGGGAGACGCGTGTCTTTTATAAGACAGGCTTATCGCGGTACGGTGATAAGGAGCACTCGCCTACATGACCTCGTACTCGTTAGCATATGAATGTAGAGGAGGAGTACTGACACAGCACTGTCCCACCCTCACCCCTCTCGACATCACCCCTCAATTCGAGGAGGAAAGGCGGTTTTTTCTTGGTGAATTGTTGTCGGAGTGCAATATTGAAATTAATTTGATCGTCAAAACCAAGCAAACGAACAAACAACAAAATTCATATTCACATCGCATCTCCATGACAACAGAAGATGGTCGTCATCGGAAAATTACAAAACAAATGAGATAATATTAACACAGTAGTAAACAACAGGAACACAAACTAAAACGCGGTGAGAATATGTCGCTTTCGATAAAGGGTTTTAAATAAAATAAATAGAACATATCAATGAGAAAAAATGACAATAGATGGCAATGTAAAAATGAACAAAAATAACTGGTTGCATTTTACTTTTCTCACAAAGCGCAAGACTAAAAAACAGTCTAGTAAGGTATTTTAAGCTGGGTTAAGTATATGCTATGAAATACCGCAACAATTCCCGAAATCATTATGGTGACCCTTGAATAAACTCAACTAGTGTTGAAAACGTTCCTCCTTTTTAGCTCACAGTTAATGTACACTATTGTACAGCTATCTTATATGTTCTCCTTAGTTGGTTCTGTGATTTGTATAATTTAAGTTGGTGTCGGATAGGGTTAAAAGTTACTTGTTAAGAATAGGTCTGCAAAAGATAAGAAAGCTTCCACGTTTGTGTGGCGCCAACATATAACCCACTGAGCGCAGGGGTCACACTAGAAACACTTGCGTTTGTACTGGCCTCACACTCGACACACTTGTGTTTGTACTGGCCTCACACTCGACACACTTGTGTTTGCCCTGGCCTCACACTCGACACACTTGTGTTTGTACTGGCCTCACACTCGACACACTTGTGTTTGTACTGGCCTCACACTCGGCACACTTGTGTTTGCCCTGGCCTCACACTCGACACAGTTGTGTTTGTACTGGCCTCACACTCCACCCACTTGTGTTAGTACTGGCCTCAGACTATGATTCTCTTATGTAGCCTACCACACCTAATCTGGTTTCACAATTTATGCGATTGTGAATAAATAACAAATTGGTTTTCCTAGTGTTACCATCGTGTTACTCACACTGCAGAGTCCTCTAATAAAAAAAAAAACATAACCTTTTATTTATTTTATACTGCGCAATGTCAGTACTTAAGTCATATCCGGTGTACGATGATAGTACTGACGTCATACTCTTTGTTCGATGTAAGCTCTAAAGTCGTGCTAGTTGTTCGATATTAGTACTCAAGTCATTCTCCTTGGACTGATCTGATGCGGAATGTTTCGACTACCAATTTGGAACAGATGTGTATATATGATATATTTTTGTTCGGATGAGTTGTGAAAGAAACAAAACCGGAAGTAGTCCAAGAGGTGCCGTAACTTGTGAAAATTCGACTTCTAAAACTCTATCTAAGTCGGAAATCCCCTAAAACTCTAAATCAAAGGATGTTTTCAATGATGCCTGTACTGAGGACAAGGTCACCCGTAATTTTTTGTCTACGCGAAGAAGGTTACACAAATGTTAAATTGTGGTCGTTTTCAATAATAAATGTACCAATTACCTGAAAGTCCGATATGATGTTTTATTACATAATTACTAATAAATACGTTTTTTTTGTGTATATGCGATACGACACAATTGCTCTAACCCATATTAGCCCTCGCCGTATCACAACCCAAAACCCGTATCAGCCCCCGCCGTATCACACCCCAAAACATGTATCAGCCCTCTCCGTATCAGCCCGCAAAACCCGTAGCACACCCCTTTTGGAAATTTTTCGCTTTTCAATATTTCCAAAAGAAAATATAGATCTAAAGATAGTAGTTTTTATTAGTAAGTATGTAATAAACAGAATAAAACACGCCTTTTTCCATATCACACCCAGTATCAACCCTCGACCAATATCAGCTCTCGGCCCTTCGGCCCTTGGGCTGATATTGCAGTCTCGGGTTGATACTAGGTGTGCTATAGGAAAAGGCATTAATATCATCTATGTTATGCAGCCAGTGCAATGTTTCTGTTAAGAAGCTAATTCTTCGAGACATAAAGATGGAAAAAAGACGCATTGGAAAGAATGGAGAGTTAAGAAGTCACGATTAAAGAATTGGAACAGATTATAAGCCACAAATGTGATATTACGCAGGTTCACAATACGGACCCTAGTGAAATAAGATACCGTATCAATTACCCCGGAATCGCATGGGTATCTCGTTATATCGGAAATCAGTGATAGAGAGCAAAGAAAAGGGGACCTCATTGTATTTGGTGCTGCCTAAGTACGCGACCAAAATGGAAAGAATCGAGAAAAGCTGATATTGATGTTATGCTGGAGGTGTTTGAGGCGTGTGTTCGGCATATAATGACGGTGAAATTTCAGCGGAGTCATTTGGTTAGGAAACATTCAAGAAAGTCCGAAACTGAACATAAAGGCAGTCCAATTCGCATTTCCTTACAGTTCTATCGAAATTAAGAAAATATTTTTTTCAAAATAACCATGGCACTTAAAATTAGTCAGAAAAATTCCAGCGTACAGATACGAAATGATCTGACAAAACAGCAGAAAACGACCTTATAAAGCAAGACGGTGAGAAACTACTGAATCAGAGACATTATATATCGAGTCCGTGGACCATCTTGTCATAGAAAAACATTTCTAACACACTATGAACTTGCTGGTTTTATTTCTGTTGTTTACTATTACGAATTTAACTTTCAAGATATCTTTATTTCTAAAACTTGTGTACACGTACCGTAATCAAAGTAAGGCTCAATTTCAAGTTGTTAATAACATATGGTCCTTGCCTGCGTCCATCAATAAACTTAATTTATACACTTGCTCGATGTTAGGGCTGATTGCACGTGCTTACTAAGGGAAAGAGTCAGACCTCTTTTCTACTGCATATAGACATTAAAAGGCTATATCCTTGGTTTGTTATTCTCCACTGAACTCTGATTCTGTAAGACAAGTATATGTGGCGGTTTTGTTAGGTGCTCAAACATTAAGAACATTCGCTTTATTAGCACTATTTAGCAGTGAAGGGTTCGTTTATCTAAGTGTAGATACCATCTGCCTGATCCCCTTTTGTTGAATGATAGAAATAAAATATGTTTAAATCAAAACGTGAATCCGTGTATTTAATCCCGGGGTTCAGGGATTGTATCCCCTTTAGCGGAGCCGTGTGGCGTGCCAATATGTGAAAACAACCAACCAGTTAGTGAGAAGGGGACAGCTAAGAGTTGTTTTGTATAATATGTAACCAGCATACAGTAATTGATGGAATTAAAACACTTTCTGGTTTTCACATATTGTGTTGTTTTCACAAATTAGCACGCTACAGAGCCGAAATGTTTTACCTGCAAAGAAACATGTCGTTATACCAGGTTATAGAATATGTCTTCTGTATACTCTTTTGCGCTGGAGACACAGATCACGCACGAGATTATCTTAATGAGCGAGACCTTAAAACAGGATAAGTTAAGTACAGATTCGTTAGAGGGTTTTTTTCATAATCAAAGTGCAAAAAAAGGACAGTCTATTGTAACACTAAGCAAAATATAGACCATTTTTCATTCCTATTTTTTCGGGCTGAAAACGTACTGGCTCTATGAACATACATCACACTTAAAACAAAATGGTTGCTATATTATGGATCTCACATTATTTTCTGTTTGTGGGTTTCTTTAAAAATATAAAGGGTTTCTGTAGAAGCAAATTACAAGGATATAGATTCGTTTTCCAATTATAAAGATATTCATTTTAATTTCACCATAAAGCAATTTTGCGTTGTGACTCATTTGCGTATTTATATCATCCGCGAAGATAATTATTATTGATATTGAAATACCATCCTTTAAATGGCGAAGTAAAGTATTCGCGAAAAACCTCTGCGGGCATAATTCGCGAAAGCAAGTACAAACAAAATGCAGTTTACATTCGGTTTTTATTTCATGCTTTTCTGCATTGTTTATCAATTGACTAGATACTATAGTACTGGTGCCTGATAAGACGGCTCGGTGAAATCTTAAACTGTATTGATTGTGTGAAATGGATATTTATGCATCGTAAATCACCTTTGACAGGCTTGTTCTGGCTAGTTAAGGCGCTATATCAAATTTAATATTATATTAAAGATAATCAATCCATCAAAATGAGAATGAATACACATAATGTCGAAAGTAAATAGTAAAATGCGTCACATTATCGCTGTGCCCCGTGTCAGTAATTGACAAGCCGTAGAAGGACAATCTTGTAAACTCAACGATAAGAAGTAGGGCCTATATGGGAAAATAATCACCTGTGATTACAAGAAAAACTGCGTGATCAAGTGATTCACATTCCAAAACGACGTGTGGCGACAGGGTTAGTTGACATGAACTAGAATGACCCGTATACAAATATCAACTCGATAACCCGCTCAGCATCACTGTGCCTGGACGTGTCGTACGTTGTTTTGAGGAACCTCCGTCAGTATATGATAGTTCTTTCCCAGCAGTAATACAGGGGGATCAATGTTTAAGGAGCTCCGTCCCACTGCCAAAAACTACAACTTTGTAAACTGGGTTTTTTTTCCGGCAGGACAAGTTTTTCTGAATCTTTTCTGAAAAGAAAATCTGAACTTCCTGACTTTTTTTTATCAAAAAACAATAAAGATGATATTTACACTATAAATCCAACAACAGTGTTTGAGTGTGTGAAAAACCAATCGGGGCTAGACAGGGATCGAACATTGCACGGGACTTGTATAGTTTCTCTAACTAAGTGAGCTTCAATGTACCTGGTCAACGGACGAACAAGCTACAGCTTAACCCAGACCGAAATTAATGGCAAGTTCTGTACATTGTGTTTAGCCTGCAATGGGACAGGAATCCTTAATTAAATATGTCCACAAACTCGAGCACCTATATAGC